AAAGTCAATAAACCGACTTAATAAACACACAAAATATAAACATCACAAGTTGTACATATAGAGAGATACGAGATTATCATATGTGAAAGCAATTTTTGTTAGTAGCATACAAAAGCAGAAATTTTGGGGGGGGTGAGAGGAAGTAGATGGAACAGCAGACAATCCTTTTACTTACAGTGGTGCTTCATGCACAGCTTTTGATATGTTGCCCACACTCTGTTCCACTGATTGGTAACTAAATGGAATGCAATACAAAATCAAATGTTCACAAATTTTTAAATAAAGCAAATACAAACAGAAAAGCCAGATTAACAAAAATCGAAATCGAATCTAAAGGTCTAGCTATTTAGTTGTCTCTGTCGCTTTACGTTAAAGACTTACACATGACTCTCTTTCAGATTCTTAACGCCCTGATTGACATCGTCTGTTAGCTCCTTCCAGACGGTAATACCCAGTTTACGCTTCAAGTCTGAAGCATGACGCGTTTTGGAGGCCAGCACCGTGCGCAGCGTATTGATCTCTTCCTCAACACGTGCCAGTTCCTAAAAAGGCAATCAAAATATAGATTAGATTTGAAGTATAGAGCAGATATTCTATGTACGACGGTTGTCCGAATAATTGTTGTCAATATTAAAATTATAATCATCTTTATATTTGGTAAATGCATTTCTCTGTCAACTCACAATTTGTTCAGACAACCCTCGCAATTACTAAATGATTAAGCACTTACCTGACTCCATTCAGCGCGTCTTTGTTCCTTCTCCTCAACGGTGAGCGCAGCAAATTCAGCTGCAATCTCAGCAGATGCTACAGATGCTGCTGGCGATACTGGCTCCGACAAATGGGCGCTATTATCTGAGCAAAAGTTAAAATAGAAAACCGTTAAACAAAGTACTCTAAAATATATATATATTATATATGAATAAATACTACTTTTAGAGAAAACTAAAAAAAGCTGGCGAGAATTTAAATGTTGTATATTAATAATAAATCCAAAAGAAATGAGGTTTGGTTTTTATGTACCTCCATGGAAGACAACTTCCTCAAAGACTTTTTCATGCGCTGTGTAATATCGAATTTCATTTCGGTTGGTTCATTAAAATTTGTGATCAAAATATGCATAAAATATGTTCAAATTTGTTGTAGGTAACGAAAACTGAATACTCACAAACTGTATGTATTTTTGTTTCGTATAGCGTAAGCAAAGAGGTAAATAGAGAGAATTAAGAAAAGCTGATTAGTCACGAAGCAATTAAAGTGTGTTAGTCGTGTTCCCAATTTGAATTTCGCGACAAACAAAAAATAAAAAAAAAAATAATTGTATATATAAAATATATAATAAATTCAGTAAAAGCTTTGATAATTTGACAAATTACCCTCGCTACACTAAACGCATGAATATTAGTTCTAGTACGCTTTCACTGTACTATTAAAACGGCTTACAGAAATATACTACAGTAAAACAAGTTCTAAGTTATGAAATCTTACGGCCCTAAATCACTCTAGTCTGATTGCAGTCACCCCGATCTCGAAACTCTTTAGGTTTACCTTTAGCAACGCTAGGACCTATAGTCAGAAATCGTTTATAGTTATCGCTGTTTGATATTTTTGCCAGATAGGGTTTCGAGAAGTCTATAAACGTGACCTTAACATCGCGCATTGTACGCTTTGTTAAGAACTTTAGACGGAAACGTTTCGCAAGAGAAGACGAAGGCGTCTGATTGGACAACTTGGATGCCATGAATTCCGTTTCGACGGCTTGCAGCTCAAGCGTATTGGCATAATCTGAATCGACATCATAGAAGATCTCGTCGAGTGTCAAATTGCGTAGATAATGTTCGGCCGTTTCATTGAACCAATCAGTTTCAGTGTCTGCTGTTATTTCCAGTTCATCGAGTGAGGGGGTCGTGGTGATGTCATCGATGCGGGGCAAATAAGAATCCTCAATGAACTCCAAGCTGACAGGCTCCGATTCGCTGCCCATATTGTAGCCCTCTCAAGCTCTCTCTCTCTTACACACACTCTCAGTCTCTGTGTGGTTTATCTCATGTTCAGAAGAAACAGCGAGCACTTTCTAATTGGAACGTGGCGGCGTACATTTCAAAGCGAGCGCTCCGAACAGATTTGTTTTGTATTTTGTTGTCTTTGTTTCGGTTCTTCTGCTTTTACCCATAGTCTTTCTACAGATTCATGAAAAGCGTTTTCCCCTGTTTCCACTACCAAAACATAACTGAAGCGCGTTCTCTTGCTGCCACGCGCTGACAGAGCAAAACTTGAACTGAGCCCAGGTTCCAATTGGTAAGCTTGCAGAGCTCTGCTGGCCGAACTAACTGTAACTGTAACTCAACAAGTTGGCAACACCAAAGCAAACAGGGAGAGGATGAGAGAGTGCAAAAGCTTAACTTTACAAGAAGAGTAACAAACTGCAAGATTGCCTTTGTAGCCGTGCTCGTTCTCTCTCTCTCTCTTCAGTCTGTTTATCAAGGGTTTTCTTATTGGCAATTTTAGAGAATTGCATGATCAACAAGTGGAAGATTGGCTCAAACTGTACGAGTCTCTCTCGCTCTCTCTCTCTCTCTCGCTGTTTGTGCGCTTCAATTTAGAGATAGGGAAAATTATATTGAAAATGATTTGTGCTCACAATTGACGTCGCAACATAAACAAGCCACAAAATGTAATAAAATTGTTATATGCCATAGTTAATTTTTTGCTGTTCTATATTCAATTAAAAATAAACTAGGCGAATTGGGAGGCGTTGTCAGGGCTTGTTATTGTTACTGTTGTTGTTGTTGTTGTTCATGCAACAATGTGTAAATTGTACACAAAGGCCACAACAGATTCACAAGCAGTTTGCCACGTTGTCAGAATTTTCATCGCTAATGTAAATATTTAAATGGATTTTGAATTTGTGGCAATTGCCGAAATAAATCTCACGAGTTAAATGCATTGCAGCCGCTGCGGAGGGACAAGCGCAAGCAGGGAATCCAATCAGACTCATGACTCATCTAAATTGTTAAACAGGCTACCCATTGGGCAGTCGGTCTAAGTGCCTTACCACCTACAATGAAATGCCTTTTTTTGGTTAAAGCCACCATCTAATTAGCTAGTCTCGGGACAGAAAAGAAATAGATTCCAATAAGTGAACCAGGGATCACGGTGAACACGCGACCACTTTCTCAACTGCATGCGGCAAATAGTGTGTCAAAGACAGCCGATAATCTACATTTTATTGGATATAGCGCACACTTACGATCCTCCATTGCTGGGCTGTTTTTGTGTTTTCTTTAATGTTGCAGCTTCAAATTTAAATGGGTTTCAACACAATTTCTACAATTTACTTTTTGTTGTTAAAAAGAACTTTGACGAAAGAAGAAGCACGGAAAAAGTGGCTGTGCTTTCTGATAACTTAGTGATGGGGTCAGTCAGGCAAACAAGTTTATCGATAGGCGAGCGTGCGGCGTTGCCAGCTGCTTAATACATTATCCAGCGCCAAATTCAAAACAGTATTTATGTTGAAATATATAATATATATTTTTTTGCTTTTGTATTTCAAAAGAAATAAAAATACATCGTTTTTCGTATTTGAATAACCTGCATTGGAAAAAAATGGCATAAGTGAAAAAATGTCATATTTTTTGTTGCTTCTCAGCTTACTTCGTCGCTTCGTTTCGCTCTTACATTTGATTTACGTCCGTTAATATAGGAAAATATATACATTTATATACTTTGTATTGTATTTACTACGTTTTCTTAGAGTTACTAATGCAGTTGGTTGTAAATATGTATATTTTAAAAAATTTACAATATCAGGTCTGTTTTTCTTGGTGTTTCTTTTTGTTTTGTTTTTCTTTCCGTTTCTCATTTTTATCGTTTTTGTTACCGAAAGAAAAATAAAATGAAAAACAAAAGAATAAATTAAAAATTATAGAAATCAAACTAAATAATTGGTTTACGTTTTTTATTTGTTTTATTTTGTTTGTTTTGTCGTTTTTTTTAATATTTGTTTTTGTTGGTAAGTAAAAAAATTGTAATATTTTTTATTTTTTGTTTTAATTTTTCATACTTTTTGTGTTTCAACTTTAAATCATAAAACAGGGTCTGAGCGCCGTGTGTATATATAAATATATATTGAAAGTTGTTAAGTGGAAAATATAAGTCGAAAACAATTTAATATAAATCAAGATGATTGCACAAAATTAAAATGTCTATATTCATTATGAAATTTGAATGGGATATAAAACTGGAGCAAAACCAGGCGTGCGTTATATATCATATATATATATTTATATATATATACCAATAAGAATATACATATATAATTTCAAAGTACATCTTTTGAACATAATTCAATAGCAATTTCATTTCAAACGTTGTAACACGCACGTTTTCCCCAAGATATATGTATATAAAGTAAACTAATAACTCGGTTCGGTTCAGCTTTTGTGTGCGAAATACGCAGTTGGGTATAAACAATATTGATTTGTAAAGTAAAATAGAGCAGCATTTGAAATAGAAAATATTTAACATTTTTTGCTTACAATTATATATAAATTTATATTGGTTTTCTTTTCATTTTTGTTTCATAAAATATCATATTGTTTTTTGTGTTTGTTTCAATCAATTAAATTTGTTGCAACCACTTTTAACAAAACATTCATTGAACTTTCTGCTTAAATTTAAGTAGCTTGAACTAATTAGAATATTTATGCATTGAAATGAAATATGGTTATAAAAAGAAATTGGCATTTAAGTCATTGTTTTTTTTTTTTTTCTTTTTTTTTTTGGGTGGCTGAGAGCAAACCAAGAAAATGGGGCAGAAACAAGGAGTAATAGGTTGAGGATGGGCAGAAATTGGCGCTAAATTAAAGTGTGTTTTGTTTTTCTCTTTGTTTTGTATAAATGCAATTTGAAGTGTCTGAGTATGTGTATGCGTGTGTTTGTGAGTGTGTGTGTGTGTGTGTGTAGGTCAGAGTTTCTCTGTATCAAATTATATAAAAATAGTTTCTTTCTGAATTGCATTGTAGAAAAGCTCCTGGGAGAGTGTGTGAAGGAGAAGTATGTGCGAGACAGAAGGTGATAGTGAGAGGGAGAGAGACAACCTGTACCATATTTTTGTTTTTGTTTTTGACACTAGTTTTCGACTAAGGACTCCGACCGAGCACGCCCGCCCGCCCGTTCTGTTCCGTTTCGTTTACCCCGAATCCCCGTCGCTTTCTGCAGCTGGCGCTGATTGGACTATTAACTCTCTCTTAGTTCTTCGGCCCCCACACCGAGGTAATGGGCGTGGCCGCTACAGAAGCACCGCCGGCAGCAAATACCGGGAAATCCTCCTGCGATTGGGTATTGGGCGCAATTAGATTCTTGGCTTGCTGTTTCTTCTCCCACGGCGCATCCTTCATGATGAAACCGTTCTCATTGCTATTGCCGCCGTTGCCGCCGCCCGAACCGGAGCTGGCGCCAGCGCCACCAGTGAGAAAGGCGCCCACCGTTTGCGGTTGCGGCGATGGCGGCAAATTCTCCAAGTAATCGCGCTCATAATCCTCAGCCATGCTCAAGAGCATTTCCTTGGCATTCTCCACATCCTCCTCCTTGCCAATGATGGTCACAGCATTTGGATTGGCTTGAGCATCATCCGATGATGGGAATTTTATGTCCACCTAAATATGAATATATAAACAAGCAAATGAATGATGGATGGATTCTATCAGTTATTCCATTCAACCAGCTGTCTCACCTTGTAATCATCGATGACCTTGCGGATGGTGCGTCCACGATGTCCAATGATGTGCGAATGGATGCGCGTATCAATTTCGATGACCTCACGATGCAACGTCTGCAATTCACCGACAATCTCCAGGATGGCATCACGAGCTGCCTCGGCCTTGGCCTGGTAGCCGGTTATGGAAATAATGCGCTGATTGGGATCGTCCCGCTTAGGCAGCGAGATATTGACATCATAATCGGCGCGCAGCTTATTAATGACTGCACCCTGGCGACCGATGAGCTTCGAGTGATATTCCGGATCGACCTCAATCTGGAGCACATACGAGCGCAGTTCGCGATCAGCCCGATCTGCCTCATAGTCCGCAATCATCTTTTCGAGCGCTTCGCGTGCTTCCGCCACACGAGCCGGCGTGCCAGAGACCTTGATGATGTCCGACTTTAGATCGCTGGGCGGTAGCTCCACATGGACATCGTGCGTGGACATAAACTGACGCACATTAGCGCCACGCGGACCAATTATGGTGCGATGCAGATCGAAAGGAACTGTCAGCTCTTCCTCGATGGGTATAAGATCGAGCAGCGCCTGCTTTGCTGCGTTGCACTTCTCGATGCGTCCGGTGATGCGAATGACATCGCATTGACGCACCGGCTCCGCCGCTGGCTCACCCTCCCCGCTGGCCTCACCGTCGCCATTGACGCCATTGGTTAGATGTTCGACGGGCTCTGTAGCATCACGATCGGGGAACTTGATCTGCACATCGAACTCGGAGGTGACCTGCTGCACCTTGAAGCCGCGTGCACCCATAATGGTGCGATGCTGACGCTGAGGTATGACCACCTCAATGGTTGTCTGCGCCTCCAGATCGGCAACAATCTCCTCGATGCGTTGCTTAGCCGCCTCGATGCACTCCTTGGCGCCTTTGATGGTCACCTTATCGGAGTTGGTGCCAGGACGTGGGAAGGAAATCATAACGCCGCCACACTCCTCCGATATGCGATGCAGGATGGAGCCACGCTTGGCCACAAAGTGTTTATGATGTTTGGGATCAACGATAACCTCGCCCTCAGTAACCTCGTCGCACTCCTTGATGATCGCCTCGAGCTGCTCTTTGGCCTTCTTCACGCTCTCCTCCTTGCCAATGATAGTGATGGCCTCCTTGTCAGTATCATCGTTCGAGGGGAAAATGATGCGTGCGCCCGTCGCATCACGAATCTTGCGTATGGATGCACCATTCTTGCCAATCAGGAATTTATGATGCTGCTGCTTGGCGCGCACCTCCACGCTAAACGAGGCCTGTTGCCGCTCATTGGCCAGCTCCAGCAACTGTGCCTTGGCTTTCTCCACATCATCCTTGGGACCGCGAATCGTGACCTGAAAATCCACAAAATTAGAGTTTATATATGATAACATATATATGCCAAAAGATAGACCTACCTTATCGCTCTTGGAGTCGCTGTTGGGGAACTTGATGGTTACACCGCCACACTCCTCCATGATGGAGGAAATCAGCTTGCCACCGGTGCCAATGATGGAGTTGTAGTACTTGGGCGATATTTGCACCTCTTCAGTAACAATATCGGAGAGTTCGTTCTGAATCTTTTGAATGCGCTCCTTGGCCTCCAGTACGTTCTCCTTTTTGCCAGTGATGACAATCACCTCGTTGGTATCGCCTTCGGCGGGTAGATCGATTTTCGTTTGGGTCTCGTCACGAATCTTTTTGATGTTGGCGCCGCCCTTGCCAATGACAAACTTATGGAATTGCTTGAATATTGGCACTTCGATGATGTGCGATGACTCTTGGATTTCCTTGACCAGCTTCATTAGATCCTTATGGCATTTGTCCACATCCTCCTTGGGACCGCGCAGCTTAACAATATCAGTATTCTCCTGGGGTGTCGGTATCGTAATTGTCACCTGACGATAACGATCCTTGACTTCACGAATCTTCTCGCCCTTGGCACCGATGATAGAGCGATGCAGCCGACGATCGATGATGACATCCTTTGACTTTTCATTTTCCAGTTTGTCGATTTTTTCTTGTAATTCTCGATGCGCTTGACGCACACCGGCCTTGGGGCCTTCGATGCGTATGTTATTCTGGCCTTCGTGCTCCTCAATGTTGATGTTCACCTTCAGCTCATCCTTGAGGCGATTCACATTGGCGCCCGCTTTGCCAATAATATGCTTGTAGTACGATGGATTCACAGTCATCACCTCGTAAGTGAAGTTCTCCTCATAGTTGCGTATGATGTCGTTCAAGTACGTGACAGCCCGATCCACATTCTCGGGATCACCCTCTAGCTTGATCTTGTCCTCCAAGCAATTAACATTGACATTGGGGCAATCCTCTTCGAGTTGCTTCATATTCGCACCCTTGCGTCCAATCACATACTTATGGATCCAATGCGGTGCATTGATCTCCACCGATTTCACCGAATTGGCCTTCTGGTAGACAACAGTGAGAGCATTGCCCAAAGCGACTTGAGGACCACGCAACGTAATCGTCTCCGAGATTGAGTCATTGGGTGGCATCTCAACGGAAACGCCCGTCAACTGGAGGATCTCAGCAATGGTTGAGCCCTTGGGTCCGATTACATAGCGATGCTGTGGCTTGGCCACCTCAACACTGACCGTCGAGCATTTCTTTTCCATCTCCTTGTAGATGGCCTCCACCTTGGCCTTGGCAGCGGCAACAGCATCCTTTTCGCCCGAAATAATGATCTCCTCCTTTTGCACCTGCTGCGGCGGCACATTGATCTTGGCGCCTGTCTCCTCCTGCAGCTTGTTCAGATTCTCATTATAGGGGCCAACAATGAACGGATGATAGATCTTCGGCACCGATATCCGATCCGATGACTTTTTAAACTGCTCCGCAGACAATTGGCGTATCTCCTGCTCGGCCCGCTCGATGCCCTCCTTGGTGCCGGCAATGGTGATCACATCGCTCTCATCACCCTGATGTGGGATATTGATGCGAGTCGATGTAGCACGCTCCAGTTCACGCAGGCGGTCGCCACGCTTGCCCAGGATGACGCGATAATGCTCACGAGGCACGTTCACCTGACGGCTGGCCTGCGTCGAGAAGCTCATGAGGATCTTACGACGCGCATCGAGCAACTCGCTCTGCTTGCCCTTGATCAGGAACGTTAGCGATTGATTCTTGCCACTGACAATCTCAATCTGAGCGCCCGTCTCCTTCGTTATCTGCTGGCAAATGCGCTTCGATTCGCCTTCGCCGAATTTCTCCGATTCCGTCGATTTGCGCTCCTCCATAGGCACATGCAGAACCTAACAAAGAAAACAGTTGATAGTCTTAGTGCCATTCTATAAAGAGTACGTCAAACACCTGTTGTTCTTCCACTCACCTGAGTTTTCTGCGAGCTAGTTACACGCGCAATTGCGGGCGCTGCAAGGGGTGCGCCTGATGACGAGTTCGTCGGCAAAGCCGGGAACAGATCGTCATAGCTAAACGTGGGCTGGGCATTGTCGGTGCCGGTGCTGCTGGTGGGCGTGGCTACCGGAGTGGGCGACGATGGCTGATCGTTGGACGACACCAGCTCCTGGCCATTGTTGAGTGCGTTTGGTTGTTGCTCAATAGTAGTTGCTACTGATAAACGGGAAGATCGATAAGTATATATATATAGAAGCTGTTTAGGTGCTTAGATTAAAGACATTTACCGTTAGATTCCTCCATCACTGCTGCTTGCATTACTTAAAAAAAGAGAAGAGTCCTTTTTCGTTCCAAGTCGTTACAGTAACACTAGAAGTAAAATTAAAGAAAAATATTATGAAAATGCAGGAAATTATTAAGAGATATTTGCAAATATGCTAGATGGACTATTTTTTTATTAGCAGGAATTTTTAAGCAAAGTATATATAATTATTATATTAAATATCAAGATAGATATTAGATGCAAACAAATTTTATAGTAATATTTATAGTATTTATATCCGTTTGCATTCATAAATATTGCATATTTCGTTTCCTAATGCAATTCCCATTTTCCACCATATTTCGTTATCTGTAACATTTTCTAGTAACTTCTATGTCTCTCCTCATTAGCATCCTTTATATAGAATGTGCATTTCAAGAAGATTTTATATATAATCAATGCATAGGTATAGCTCAAAGTCTAAGAAGAAATAATGAATGGGGATTTTCTCATATATAGATTGATAACACAAAATCTTGACTTTTCTATTAATATTTCATATATTTTCGGTGTTAAAGCTTTCTTTCAACGTTCTTTTACTATGACCACCCACATAGATAGTTGTATCATTGAACTCCGATCATACTACTGACCCAATAAATTTAAAAATACCATTTGTTTACGAGGCATTATTTTTAGTTGAAATATCTGAAGTTTCCAATGCAAACAATTATTGTTTGAACAACTGTTGATTAGCATTAACTGAACTTTCTGAAAGCCGAGCTATTATACATCTATTTGCATATACATATTTACATTTATATACGTATGTGTATGTATGTACTTATATTCAACATTCTCTTATTTTTCTTTCGCTGCTCGCTTGCTCACTTGCTTGCTTGCTTGGCAGCGAACGAAAATAAATCCTAGATAAACCAGAAACACAGGCATTAGGCACATAAAAATCAACTTTGGGTCTTGATAAGGCAGCGCGACCCGTATGTCGTTGACGCTCCGATGATAACACGCTTGCTGCTTTTATAGGTAGCAGACTCGGGCATAGGACTGGGGTCTCGACTCGCTCAGCTGATAAACCAATTCTATTTAAGCGTTAGACATTAGTTTTTTTTTACTATACAGAATGAGAAATGGCCACGTAATGGCTATGCGAAAATATTGGGCAAATGATTACATACATACATTGTATAGACATACGTTGACTTTATATGAAGGTCCGCTTTTGAACATCGGGTGATAAGTGGACAGCTTTGTTGCTCTATCAGCGGCCACGCTGGCAAAAATTTTCAAAGCAAATAGTTGATACTTATCGATCAAGCTGATAAGAGGCGAGATATAAATACACATAAGCACACACACAAACATACTTATGTGCACTGCAAGTACACAAATACTTCAATAAATACTGTTATTAGTATGTACGTATAAGAAAAAAAACTTCGGTTTGTACCAGTGAAAGGTTAAGAAACGGCTAAGAGAGAGATCGAGAGTAGCAGCATTCTTTTGTACAAAAGTATTTCAACCGAATACCGTTACAGACATGCACTTGTTCAAAGCTGGTTGGCAGACTGTATGTGTGTGTGTGGTTTTCTAAATCAGCGCCCAACAAGTTTTTTAGCCTACATTTTTCTTCTGCTTTAGCAGCAGCAGCAGCAGCAGCAGCCAGAAGAACAACACAAGACGTTGCCACTATCACCGCCATTGATTTCACATACACACTGCTTACACACACACACACGCATACTCAATATGAACGAAAAAAGGAAAGCGAACTGTGCCAAGCCGATAAGAAAATACTCTGCAACAAATTACACCACACACACACAGCCAACGCTAGAGTTAATATAACAGAATAAATTCTCAAATTATCTGTGCATCTCTAAATTATTATTTATTATATTTTTAAATTAGTTTCATTTTTGTTCCTAAACATTTTTAAGATAATCTATATGTTACGTGCGCAAGCGTTACAAACTGCACGTACATGTCATTGATGCTCCATACGCATGAGCGCATAAAAATGTGTCAAAAGAAGAGACACGCTAAATGCGAACGAGCGAGCGAGAGAGTCAAGCTTGACGAAGTGCTCTGCGTGGCGGGGAGTTGTGCGAGAGGGAGCCATAAAACCGGATGATAGCCGGCAACTACATGAAATGATCGGCAAGCGTGTGTGTGTAGCTGTATGTGTACTTATGTGAACGTAAATGAAATTGTATTTGTATGTGTGTTGTGGCTCTGCGCTGCATGCGCACTTCTTGATTTTGTCGCTGCGCTTGTATTGGTAGCTTGGCACCTTTCGAGGCAAGCTCGAAAAGAAACACGGGTAACAAAAAATTAAAGGCACTCACATACATATATACAGTGAAACACACATATGTACATATGTAAATGCTACTATGCATATGCATGCGCTGCAGCGCCGTTGACGTCGACAAGACAACCAAAGTTCAGCTTGAGCATTTTCTATGCACATTTACATATAGAAATTGTTTTTTTTTTTTTAATTCTCTTGAGCTTTTTTTTTGGTAAGGTGCTTAGACCAATATTAATTTAAATGCTGTTACTTAAGCAAATTGTGCCTGTAGTCTGCCTTAACGGTACTCCTCTTGTGAGATGAACTGAAGCAGATATACATGCATATATAAATATGTATGTGAGAGTAGCTACACAAACAAAAAAAACCTTGACGTAGCCAGTTTTGCATGAAAGTCGGCTGCAGGTATTCAAAAGAAGACATTTACTTCTTTGAGCTGGCAAAGCAGTGTTGTCAAACTCGCCTTTTTCCCGACAGACTTAGACTTGGCTGCATTTTTGAATAAAATTTAGCTGATTTTCTTTATGTTGTCATTACCTCTAAAAACTAGCTCGAAAGTTGCCAGCACTGGGCTCTGTGTAAAATGCTTAATTATGCAAATGTATACAAAAATATACTGTGGATTTCATGATCGTAAATATATTTGTATGCAGGTTGTTCAACTTACTGTACTGTAAAATCCAAAAAATCCGGCCTATATTTGTCCTTTAACAAAATCCAGTTTGATCAACTTGGCGTGTCTCCAGCTGCAAAATACACAATGAACATGTACAAGAATTTTAATTATTTAATCTAATGTGAATCAGAACATGTTAAACAGCAGAAGGCAATAAAGATGGCACGTTGCATCAATTTCAAATTAGAAAAAAAAAAACACACACACACACACACACACAAAACAAAAGGAAAAACATGTTTTCGTGCTGCCGCCCCAAATGCGCTGCTCTGCAATGCAATGCAATTGCAATTGGTGGAGCATATGGCAGCGTTGGCAAGCCTCTGCCTCGTGTTTATTAACACAAATGTGCATAAATTCAAAAGAGCGGGCGAGAGAGTGTACAGGAAAAGCGGGCGGTAGGAGCGGAGAGAGAGAGAGTGAACGCTGCCCTATGGCAAAAGCTGACGGCGACCTTTATGCATAAACATGCGGGCCACTTATTGGACAATTATTATTGTTGTTGTTTTTGTTGTTCTTACTGCAGTTGAGTGCATAAAAAGTGGAGCATAAAATATGTGTGCGTATGCTTATTAGTCTGTGTGTGTGTGTGTAGGCGGAAGCTAAAGAGTAAGGGAGCACGCTCAGTGCGTAGTAGTAGTAAATATTCTGCTGTGAAAGTGACTGCTGCCACTTGAAGTGGGTGAAAGGTCTCTTCATCTGTTAAGGTTTCAACTTGTTTGAGCGTGTGGCAGAGCGACCACAAAGTTTGGTCATTTTAGTTGAATGTAATGTATGTATGTGAAAGACGGAATACTAAAAGTTCAAAAATCGTATGGCTTATGCTCTCACACAACGACACACACGCACACATACACAATACAGAGGCACGCGCGCACTACCACAAGCATAAATGCCGCCGACTATGTCTGCTGTTGCTGCTGCTGCTCCCGCTGCCATCAATCGGACATAGACACACTTACATACACATATACATAACAATGTACGTGTGTGTGCTCAGTTTTATTGGTGTATGCGTGAAGTCTCCGCCTCCACCGCTACCGCCGCAGCGGACAACGAAATATGGCTCTGACTTTTGTGTCTTTAACTGTGTGTGCATGTACGATGTACGACGACGACGACGGCGACGACGACGGCAGCAACAGCGGCGACGCTGGCAGCGACAGACAGGCCCGTACGGTTGTGATAATACTATTAAAAAACACGTTGTTTTTCATTTGAATATGGATGATTTGAAACGTTCGTATATTTAACTATTTCCGCATGTGCACTCTATCGTGGGCATTTGACTTCAATTCATTTTTGTAAAAAGCAAGCAAGAAGTTTCCACGTTGCGGCAGCCGCGGCCTAAATTTTCTCTCTAGTCGTCGTCGCCGCCGCCGCCTTCATTCGACCCACACAAAACGTAAATTTAAGCACATTTTTGTTTAACTTGTAGCATTGAAATTGCTCAATAAAGCGCGCACAGTTTGTTGTTGGCACTTAAGTGCATTTTTCAAAAACAGTTAAACTAATTTTAGTTAAAAACTTTCTACTTAGAACTGCAATACGCACACGAAGCGGATATCAACTCCAAGTAAAGTGAATGAATGAGCAACTGAGCGAACGTGGCAAAATGCAGGCGTGTTGCCACATGGCGTTTTCCGCAGTGGCAACGCTGCGGGTAAAAGAAATTTGTGCTGCCAGTCGAGCGCTATTGTGGGTGATTTAGCATACACAACTATCGATAACAAATATAGCAACGCCCGTGCAACTTGTTGCCATTCACACAACAAAGGCAAAAAAGAACAGAGGAGAGCGAGTTATATATTGTTTTTTTGTGTCTTGGAAAATACCCGTTCTCTTGGCATTTCCGAAATACAATTTATTTATAGCACAATCAAACACGCACAGACACACACGCATACAGGCACAAAATATGCCAAAACTAAAGAGTTTACTGCCCAATATCTTTGGCGGCAACAGAGACACAAACAACGGTAACAGTAACAACACAAACATGAGTGAGGAGGGACGTTTGGAAACAGATGCAGTGCCAGCTAGCGAGGCAGATAACGACGTTAGCGGCGCATTATCGCTGACCTCCAATACGCCAACACCATCCGCTGATCTAACCGAGTCGGTGCTGCGCGAGCTCTCCGATCCCAATTACAATTCCATGGACGTGGTGCAATCGGCGCAAATACCAGGAAGTGCTCTAGTGAATGGTAACACCAGCACCATGAACACAATGAACGTGCACAGTGCACAGCAACAGGTGGTGATGAACTTCTCGAATGCCAGCAATTTGCATTTTGGCTCCGTATACAATTTCAATCAAAATTTAACTGGCTGCAGTTCACGCAAAGGTAGCACAAGCACAGCGGAGGATGTGGCCGGAGCGCTGCCATCCGATGCAAAAGTCCGACATGGTGTGCCAAGGAAAACCGTTAGCATTGTGGCAATGATGCAGTCACAGCAGGAGCCAGACGAACGATTGCTAGACGCGGTCGCCACTCACCTGGGCGAAGGCTGGAAACAAGTGATGCGCGATTTGGGCCACTCAGAGGGTCAGATCGAGCAAGCAATAATTGATCATCAAATGCATGGCAACATCAAAGAGGTTAGTCATATGCCGTACCTACACGGTAATCTATTAATATCTTCATATTTATCTATATCTTGCAGGTGATTTATCAACTGTTGCTACAGTGGCTGCGCAGTTCTGATGATGGCGTTGCCACCGTGGGACGACTCACCACCTTGCTGTGGGAATCCCAGCATCGGGAGTGTGTGCAACGCATGAAACTCGTTTGGAAGGCGCTCGAGAAGCGCAAGACATCCAGTTAGGCAGCTAGAAAACCAGGGCTACAACATATCCAATTAGTATAAGTCACTAATTAAGCTGTTTTCCAAACAAACAAAACCCCAGAAGCAACTCAGCAATTAGCGTAGAGCATTCTAACTCTTGTGCAATAATATTTGTTAAACTATTTTTTGTTTACATAAAAAAAGGCATTGTCAAATATTTTTATATACTTAAACTTCGAATAGGTGCCTTAGAAAATAACTTTGTTCCAAACTCTTTAGCTTGTTAAATGTGATAATGAATTTGTTTCCAATTATTAAGAATTATGACAATAAACAAAAAGTTCGGTTATGTAATGGTTTTCATATGTATTGCAAAGAAATGTGAAAACCAAATAATTATAAATCGTTAATATATATTTTTATATATGCAAAACATTTAATGCAAATATATTTACTTTATTATATAAATTGGCACATACGTAGATTCTCTATCAGATGATTGAATTATGTCATTGGTTTTATGTCATTTAAAATCTCTCGCTCTAAACGATCTTTTTGATCTTAGCGGTAAACAGATCAATTAACATTTGTGCGCCATTGCCGTTGTTCGACTGATAATCGGGCAGCTGTTCCATGCGCGCTATCCATGCGCTAAGTTTCGGATAACGTTTCGACTCGATGGGTGCGAGGCCCAATAGGCTGGCCACCGATGAGATGCAACTGAAGTCGGCCAGGGTCAAGGTCGAGCCGCACAAATAGTCCTGATTGCCCAGAAAAGCCTCGAGGAAATCGTACATATCAAAGATGCCATCGATCATATAGCGTGGCACCTCAGACTCGTTGCGATAGAAGATCGGCGCAGCGATATTTCTTATGCAACCTTGGAACACAACGCCGGACTCAAAATGTAGCCTTTGATCCACCACAGCACGCTTATAGTAATCCTTGGGATACAGCGAATCATCCTTGCCATATTTGCGCACCAGATAGGCCATTATAGCATGCGAGTCCCAGATGCATTTGCCATCGTCCTCCAGCATGGGCACCGTATGCTGTGGATTCTTCAGAGTGAACTCCTTGCTGAGCTGATCGCCAGCCAGGATATTGACCAGCTTGTACTCGTATTGCAGACCGAGAGCGTTCAGGGTCATCTTGCAAGCGCGGACCGGAGGACTTGCTTCCACACCGTACAATACCAATTTGCCCATTTCTATACTTAAGCTGGAGACGTCTGAAAGCCTGGAATGCTATAGTTCAACTAAATAAATCTTTCTCGATTCTTTGGCTATAGTTCAGTTCAAGCTCACCACCTGTCTCTCTCTCTATCTCTTTCTCCCTGCCTGACTCTTTGGGCTGTAATCGCTTGTCGTTTTAATTACTATCTAAATGTATTCCACTTGCTTGTACTGATTATATAGCTATACTATATGTTATTTGTACGAACAGAGCTTAGCAGCCGTAGCAACTGTCAATACATTAATCAAAGGGGCTTGACCAATAAGCATGCATAGATTTAAATAAACTAAAGTGATACGTAAGTCTAGCTAGAAATGGCTATATAAAAGCTAAAATTATGCCTAAACTAACGAACAATGGCTTTATTGAAGCTAGTAAAAGCTCATAAGTATCCAATTTTCACTAGAAAAACAAAAATATTTCAGTCTAAAATTCTTTCTATTAGACCTTAAGCTTTTTAGTACTATAAATATTATAAACTATTTGCAATTTTCGTCACTTATATAATAGAGACAATCAAAATTTTATTCAGCATTTGATATCATTCTTGGAAAACCTTTTTATGGCACTCTAAGCTGGAAACCTTATCAGTACAAACGATAGATATGCAGGTGCGATAAACTGATAACACTACGTGTGCTAGGTAAGGGAGACACGTGCTTGAGGCATTCGAACTGAAATGGTCACGGTTCGTATAACACCCATATATATGAGAGTAATTTATTGTGTAAACATATACATATGTATACAGATAAGTATAAGAGTTAGAAAATTTATAACTATTTATGCGACTGTGTATAAAACTCTGAGAGACTAAAACGTATCCCAAATGCGGAAAATTTAGATTTAAAAATCATTCGTGCACGTAAACAAAGAATTTAAGCTGAGTGAATAATAAACTAAGCCTAATTAATGACCAAAACTAAGATCATGAGAGAAAATCGCTAATCATGCTTACCTCAGCTTTTTGTTCAATAAAGAGAGCCATTTTGAGTGGACGTGCGTTCTGTTTATTTCGCATTGAAAATAAAAACGCCACTTACAGTTGTCTTTCTGTTCTCTTCTCTCCTCTTATTCGGCCACTGTGAACTTTGCCTTCTTCACTGAAGCTATAAAGAGACGCGCTCCTAGCGAATTCTCTGCATAAACTGGCAGCTGTTCCATGCGACGCATCCAAGCTCTTAGTTTGGGATATTTAACGGGATCGATTTCAACGTATGCAACCATTGAGCTTATGGAGGAGATGAGACTAAAGTCTGCAATGGTCAGCTGATCGCCGGCAATGTATTCCTGATCCTTGAGAAAGGCTTCGACAAAATCGTAAGCCTCGACAATTGCCTGAATGCGCTCTTTGGGCACCTTTGTCTGGCCTAGGAAGAGAACCATCCGCGTTATGCTTATCAGAGCGTGTGCAAACACCACGCCCGACTCAAAGTGCAATCGTTGATCCACCAAGGCACGCTTGTAGAAATCCTTGGGATACAATGAATCATCCTTGGCATATTTACGCACCAAATAGGCCATTATGGCATGCGAGTCCCAGAAACGAGCTGGCCCATCCTCTAGCATGGGTACCGTGTGCTGTGGATTCTTCTGCAGATAAGCCGGCGAATGCTGCTCTCCTTTTAGCACATTAACATTAACATATTTATATGCTAATTGTAGGGCCGCCAGCGTCATTTTGACAGCACGCGTTGGCGGACTGGGATCCAAACCGTAGAGCGTCAGATTAACCATGCTGCCGGCTCGCAAGCTGAACTATTACTAGCAGACTAAGAGGAATTTTCGCTCAATGTTGTCAAAAATCATAAAAATAAGAGAAACGAATCGTCTGACAAAGCGAAGAAGGCAACAACTAAATATGTACATAATATTCTAAATTTCCATCTCTTAAAAAATTTCCATAAAAAACCCAAAGAGTAAACATGCTAAATTATTTAAAGTATTCTGTTATGATTTAGTATTTAAGCAAAGAGAGGAATCAAAAAATACACCAACAGCAAAATAAAGAGAGAGCAAATAAACAACTGGCAATTTTATTTGGCCGCATTGGCACTTCTCTCTCTCTCTCTTTATATTGCCCTCGGCGTTGCTCTCTCTTTTTTTTAAGTCCCCTGCGCAGTGGGATTTTTTTATAAAAGCATAAACAGCAAAGATTATCGATGATTAGATATAACAAAACATTTATTACAAAAGAGCTTATGAGAGAACTGATAACACTTAGGCAACTACTGTGAATGGCTTACTTTTGACAGCAGCGACAAATTGCTGTGCACCTGTGCTATTTTCCGCATAATAGGGCAACTGCTCCAATCGCTTGATCCAAGCGCTCAGCTTGGGATATTTGGCGGCATCGACCGGCACATAGGCCACCAGAGAGCTAATAGATGAGATGAGACTGAAGTCGGCAATGGTCAGCTGATTGCCAGCTACGTAGGTCTGATCCTTGAGGAAAGCTTCGACAAAATCGTATGCCTCGGTAATCGCATCAATGCGCTCCTGCGGAATCTCCGTCTTGCCGAGGAAGAGCACCATTTTGGTGAGGCTGCGCAGGGCATGGGCGAATACGACGCCTGACTCGAAATACATGCGATTATCGACGAGAGCGCGCTTCACCAGATCCTTGGGATATAGTGAGTCATCCTTGCCGTATTTGCTCACCAGATACGCCATTATGGCATGAGAGTCGGCTATGTTTGCATCGCCATCCTCCAGCAGTGGCACCGTATGCTGCGGATTCTTCTTCAGATATTCCTCTGAATGCTGCTCCTTATTCAGCACATTGACGATTTTGTAGTCGTAGGGCAGCTGCAGCGCAGCCAGCGTCAATTTGACGGCACGCACTGGCGGGCTGGCATCAATACCATAGAGAATAGGCTTCACCATATTGACGATATATCCGTGTATTGCGTTCGGCGTCTGAATGATAACTGACCGGCCAACGGGTGGGTGTCGTTGCTTTTATATACACTCGACCCTGACGAGAGTCGAACATGTTCGCCAAATTCCCATACGTGTTCAGAGTAAACGTAACGGCTGTTAACTTCCCACGCTCTTTAACTTTTTAACTCTCCCAATCACTGCTGCTACTGCACGCAAGCCCTCACGCACACATGCATATACACATATGTACATACACAAGGAAATTGAGTACGTTTGCATTGATTTCTAACGCCATTAAAAATAAATGCTAATGCAATTTTAATTAATTACTCATATGAAGAAGGAAGATGGGAAAAGTAAGGCAGCGTAAAATTAACTAATGTTTATTTTATTTGAATGTTAACGTACAAATACATAGAACTTAAGTATGCATGTGTGGTGCTTAGAAGTTTGCTAATTGAACTTTGTTTAGCCAATGCTCTCTCTTCGTTATTTTTAGAAATCACAGTTTGCTAAAAGCTCGTCAGCGCATCTAGCACTCTCACTTATTCTCTCACCGTCGAATTGTTGTTGGTTTTCGCTCTTTGTGTTAGAAATTGGAATTGTAACTGTGATCGCGCTCTCTTCAATACGCTGACTGGTCATGACTGCGCACTTTCCATGGCATTTTGGTAAACAAATATTTCACAATAAAGAGAATGAACGTATAAGGTGCTCTTCAATTACGTATGTATGCATATGTGTGTTAATTTAGTAATCTATTTAAATAAAATGCATTCTAAGCTGCAATGGTGAAATTTTTCGATTTAAGTATTGTTTCCAGTTGAGCCGCTCCTATGCCATTGGCCTCCTCGTAGTAGGGCAGCTCCTTCATACGTTGCACCCAGGCTGAGATTCTGGGATATTTGGCTGCATCTATTGGCAGGTAGATCCACAGACAGCTGATTGACGACACAAAGCTAAAGTCAGCTAAGGTCAGCTCGTTGCCAGCCACATAATCGTTATCACCCAAAAATAGTTCCACCAGATCGTAGATTTCAGCAACGGCTTCGATTCTAGACTGTTCGACGACAGTTTCTCCCAGCATGAGAATACCTCTTGTTATCGGGCGCAAGGCGCCAGTGAACATGAGACCCGAATCGAAATGCAGCCGTTGGTCCACAATGGCGCGCTGATGGTGATCCAGTGGATACAGTGCATCGTCCTTGCCATATTTACACACCAGATAAGTCATTATGGCATGCGAGTCCCAAATGCAACCCTCGTCATCCTCCAGCATTGGCACCGTATGCTGAGGATTCTTTTCCAGAAACTCGGGTGTCAAATGCTCTCCATTAAGCAAATTAACGTGCACCAGTTCATAGGGCAACTCCAGCGCCTTGAGTGCCAGCAAACAGGCGCGCGTGGGTGGACTTGCCTCCAAGCCATAGATTAAAAGTTTGACCATACTTCCGCGTTGATTGACAGAGGGTGACTAACAGCCAGGTCCTAATCGACAGGACCTTATATAGTGACGGGGAGCTTGGGAAATGTGGTCTGTGTTGAGGGCCACGTAGGTGCTCGGTGTATTTAACCAGCTGCAAGAGGAAGAGCTGAGAGCCATTAGCCCAACAAACTGAACACAATGGAAAACAAAGGATAATTAAATATGCACACATATACTTTACATTGGGGGCGACTTTTTTTTCAGATAGTATATCAAATTAAGTAAAAGTGCTTTTATTGACTACGTTTTAACAATTTTAATCGGCTAAATACTATTTAATTAAATATGAAAAAAAAAAAAAATACATTTTTATTGTAAATATTTTAAAACTATATTATAGAATAGAAAAAAACCTTTAAAAAAAAAAAAAAAATGAACGTTTAATTATATTTAATTACTTTTCATATATACATATATCAAACACATACACATAAAAGTCAAATTAATGATTGCAGTAAAATTATTAAATCCAAGAAAAATTATAAAAAAAAAAATTAATAATATTTATAGATTTTGTATTTATTCTTTACTACAAATTTATTATAAACTATGTTAAAAATTTATATAAATTTATTTTATGCAATTATCTCTAATAAAATCTACAAAATCTAAAATCAAACGCACCTGCAGCTGCTGCTGCTCAATTACAGGGTATCTATGGCTATTAAAATTGATTTTACAGCTATTTCATTTCGATTAATTTAAATAATTTATGCATTTCAGCCACACGCAAACTGTTGCCCACAATTTGAATCATTTATGTGGTCTCATGTGAATATATGTATATTATATATACAATTGATATAGAATAAATACTATATATATATAAATATATATGTATGTGTGTATATACTCATATACATCAGATTAATTTAGTTTTAGCCCACTGACACATGGGTAAACATTGAGGCAAGAGATAAGCTCTGAAAATAAAAAATAAAACGCCTTAAACTTGCAGCATTATGACGTCTTTAGATTATTTTCGCTCGTCTTACGAATAATTAGTTGCTTGTATTATCTAATCTTATCTGCAGACTTAAATCATGCACTGCCTGATGGCAGCTGTCTGTGTGGCTGTGGAAACTTAGGCGGCGCAGTAGCTGCTGGGCAGTTAGACTAGATATAGTTTAGTCGATATACTATATATCTATCCATATATATTTATAATCCGCATCATGGTGCTCGTCCTGTTCGGCACTGAGCTGAGTCCGGGCGTGCGCGCTGTGCTGCTCACGTTGCGCGCCCTGGAGCTGGAGCACGAGTTCTGGCACTTGGATCTGTTTGCCGGGGAGCACCTGGAGCCGTATTTTGTGCGCAAGAATCCGCAGCGCACGGTGCCGGTGCTGCAGGATAACGATGCGTGCATCTGGGACTCGCATGCCATCATGGGCTATCTGGTTGGCAAATATGCCTTCACCGATGTCCTGTATCCACGCGATCCGCTGAAGCGCGCCCTGGTGGACCAGCGATTGCACTTCGATTCGGGCATTTTGTTTGTGCTCTTCAAGCAGCTGCAGCACCTGATCTTCCAGGAGGAGGTGACGGAGCTGCCAAACGCCTTGATCGAGCAGCTGCACAAGGCCTACGATCTGCTCGAGCAGTTTCTGGACGGACGCAACTATTTGGCCGGACAACTGCTGACCATAGCGGACTTTAGCATCGTCGCGACCCTCAGCACTCTGCACCTGAGCTATGCGCCCGTCGAGGCGGCCAAGTATCCCAAATTGAGCGACTGGCTGACACGAATCTCCGATATACCGTACTACGAGTCCGCGAATCTGCGCGGCGCCCGCCAAATGGCTGAGATGGTGCGCGCCAAGCTGCCCAAGCAGTTCGACAAGCTCTGGCTGAAGGCCTTCGAGGAGATCAAGAGCGGTGCGGGCAGGCAGCCACTGAAGTAAATAACCACCGAAACGAACGCACCGCAGCTTATGATACTTTATTTTGTGCTTAATTTAGGAAAGGATTTGAATATATTTATCAAATTTCATCCTTGCTTCGCTCCTATTAAGTCAGCTTTTTGAAAAACTTTTCTTAACTTTTTGCGCTCATTAAAATTAAAAAAAAATAAAAATAAAAATAAAAAATCTTGCTTTTTTTTATTACAAAAAAACAGGAGACGCTTGAAAAGCGCAAAGTTTTTGCCGTGTCGTGCATGCTGAAGTTGTTAAATCATAATTAATTTATGACGCCGTCAGCTAGGACTCGGAACTCCGGGATACGCTAGGATACGCCGGGACACGCCGGGTGTCGCGTGTCGGAAGTTTGGAGTTCGGGCTGGCAGCGTCAGGTGTGCGGGCCGAGCTGGCTGCCTGCCTAAATGCCTGACTGAGCAGTGCTGCCGTTGCCTTAGCCTGCCTGCCACGCCCACCAGACGTCGTCCCTGCGTCTTGGCAAGGAGTGCGAGGCCAGACCGGGTTGACGCAGGCAAACTAATTGGTTTAATTTCAACTTTTACTTTGGACATTCGTCTCGCTGCCGGCCACGCCCATCGCTCTCCACCCATCGCCCATCGCCCACAGCGTCCACCTGGATGTTGGGTTTGTTGTCAAGCTTTCTGCTTGGCCAGATTCGTTTGCGACGTGTTCATTTTTTTTTCTCTTTTTTTTTTGCATTTCCCCTTGTACGAGCGAACTTTGTTGCGACTTTTTCCTTTTTTGCTTCGCTGGCTGTATCAATTTATTGTAGCATGCTTTTAGGCGCTCTTTGAAATATCTCACTCACTCTCTGTCTATCTACGTATCTCTCTGTCTCCCTCTCTCTCTATTTGAATTGAATTGGTTTTCCACCTTTTTTTTTACCTTTTTTTTTTGCATGTTTGGTTGTTAAGGACTTTCCATGAAAAGCGGCTTAAATGGAAAAGCTTCGATAGAAGCGAAACACTATTCCCATAAAATACATTTTTATGGGCGAAAAGGCGCTTAGTTGTTGTAAGCCACATTTGGATTTAGTTAACATGAGAATATAGAATAACATATATATTTTATATTTACATTTTATTTAATTTTTTATATATTTAATATTTAATATTTTATCTTTTATAGTTTTTTTATTTTTACATTTTAAATTATATATTTTATGTCTTATATTTTATATTTTATATTTTATATTTTATATTTTATATTTCATATTTTAT